TAAGAAAGTACCACTAAAGAGAGTAACTAATTTAAAAGCAGCCTCTCCCACCCCTTATCCCCAAAACCTATGCATTCAGTTTCCATGTGGTGCAGAGACAGACATCTAAATGAAAATCTAGTCCCTCAGCTAGTTTTTTCATACTCAGTGAATGAATATGATCTACAAGCTCTTCCTCTGCTTTCTCAGAGTTTGTTGCTCACATTCAAGATCAGCTCTGATAACCTCAGAGCAGACGTCTGGGAAAAAAGTGAAGTTAACGACAGAATGTTGAGGAGGCTCAGCTGGGGCTTCATGCCTAGGCTGGGCTGGTTAGCCTGTGTTGGGAAGGCCTTGTCTAGCTGCCCTAACTTCTGGGTAGGTCTTGGATGATTCTGGTTCTCCAGATTTGCTCTGTTCAACAGCTCACCCAGAGACTGCACTGGTGGTGAGGGGATCCATAGGTCCCCATATCCTGCTCCTTCCTGACAACCTGCCTCCTGACAGCTGGAAAGAGATACAGATTCCTGGTGTGGAATCCTATCTGCAAACGTCTTCTAGAGATAAATACACTTAAAAGGGCAGTTGTCTCTTCCAACCCCTCCTCAAAATCTTTTATACACTATCTTTTTGGTTGTATCAATTGAGCAGGATGAAGAAATTGAGTTTGGGTCTTTACTGGTAAATCTGACCAAAAAAGAAAACCACTACAACAACAAAAACACTGGGTCATGCCTCACCTCTCCTTCAGAAGCTAAGTGTAAACAGTTGGCCATAAAGAACCAGGTCACAGGGCCATGGACTGGAACGGTATTTCTTATACTATTAAATTGGTAGCATGGCCTCTTGAAAGGCTTTGGCACAGGCTAATATTCTTCTATAAAGCGTAGGGATTAAAAGGGGTTCAGAGTAATTCCTAATAGGCAGTTTGGATGCAGCTACCCAGTTTTGGAGCTTAGAGTTCAGCTGAGGTATATAGTTATAATCTCCCTCAGGGCTGAGAAACAGCCTCTGGCCAATTTTACTTTTCAAGTGCCCCATGAATGTAAGAAGCACAAAGCAAGCAGAAGTCAGCAGAAGTGAAGAAAAAAGGCAAAGGGCAAATCTCTAGACACAGTTATTGACATTAGTGAGTTTACACTCTTTATATTTCAGCATCATTGGATGAAAAATTATCGAAGCTGTCCAAAGCTTAAGGATCAAAATGGACTGATACTGTAGAAACTGTAGAAACTGTAGAAACTGTAGATACCGTAGAAACTGTACATATTTATGTAGTCATTGCTGTTATAGAGCTGGCATACCACACTTTTACTCCAACCTGGACATTATGGCCTTGCCTTAGTATACGGGCAGTTTGCATGTGAAGATGTTTGCAGAATAAGCAACTCTACCATCTACATCAGTTGTGGTCGAGATAGCAGGTTTCTCAGTGGACTAGCATCATTTGTTTCTGATGCCATAAGGTACACTGAAATTGAAAAGAAAGGATAGGAAACAGACAAAGAATGTGAATGTATAGTCAAATTACAATTGGAGTTGGGCACTTTAGAGAGTTTACGGTAAAGAAGATCCTTCCTGGTACCCATTAGTCTAGGTGTATCTATTGGGCAGACCAGGCTACAATAGAAAGAGAGGTAAACTACTGGACGTTTGAGACACAATGCTGCCAGAATTGTGATGGATGGATTTCTATGATATAGAGGAAGTTTATAAAACATAGTCAAGTTTCAACACTTGTCATGAATTTTTGTATCTCTGGTGAAATGTGGGTTTCCAATTTTTTTCTGCACAAACATTCACTCATTTAAATTAATAGAGGTTTCAGCTCCACTTTTAGCAACAGGGGCCCAAGGCTTAAAAGCTGAGCTCACAGCAAGATGATGATATTATTTAAAAAAACAAGTTAAAAAAAAAACAAAAAAAAGCTACTGAGCATCTATTTTATTACATATTTTAAGAGTTTTCAGTGTATTAAACATAAATGCAAGATTGACAAAATGCCAAAGGTGGAAAAATGCACAAAAGGAAAAACAGCAATAAAAAATGTAAGTTCACTGCTTTGGAGTATAGTATAACAGGACAAAGCTAGATATGATGATGTTGTTAGGTTTCTTCCCTACACTCAATCTGAGGAAAAATATGTTAGAGTTAATAAGACTGGATTAATGGCAAGTTCCTATGTCCTGGTGCAGGACAAGGTTATGACCCTGGTTAATGAGGCTGAAGCTGGTGAACACAAGCGTGAGCAGAATGACACTGTGTTGCCAGTGCCATGATCTGAGAGCAGCCAAGCCAACCCTGCACTAACTGCCATGCAAAGTATGCCTCCATGAGCTCCCAAAAAATAAAATTCCTAAAAGAGATGATAAATGTATCGTCAGAATAGCTCAGTCAAAACAAACAATAGACCACAAAAATATACTTCTGTGGACACTGTACTGTTGTAACATTCTCTAACACCAACAGAAGCTTTCAAACTACTTCAAGCTGTTGGTTTACATAATTCCTGTCCTGACAGTTTTATATAATTACATTTATACTGGCATTTGTTTTGCTTTGTTTTATGGCACATTCCTTACACTTGGAGAGAAACTGAGAAAAAAAAAGTCCTTCTTGAGGGACAGAGGAAGAGCATAAAACACTGATGAGACAGACTGCAGCCAGAACTGAAATGTAAGTAGGAAATGGGTGTTGAAGGTGTCCTGAACAGGGGTAAGTGCTTCAGCAAGAGATGGGATGCACTCATTGAGCAGACTTTCAAAAGCATGGGGAAGGCAAAGAAAATGGTTAAAATTTGTCTGGGGCTATTCCATCCAGTTAGAAGTATAAAGTCTTTCTTGAACCCAGACTGATTCCTTCTGCACCATGCAGTTCACTGAAGAAATTTGTTCTGTACTTTTTTTCTGTGGAAAAGATGAAATAATGCATTGTTTGTTTGGAACTGTCTAAAAATTACTCCACATAGCCTTGATGATTGGCAAATGTGGGAAGTGTGAACTGTGAGTGCAACCTAAAATGATGCAGACTTTAAACAAGAAAAATATAAACTGTTTAGAAAACAGAAACTGTTGATGAAGAATGTATGTATGGAAAATGGCCTTCTGCTTGAACTAGCTTTAACAATGGAACACATTAATAGTTATGAAAAAAATCAAAATATCTTCGGCTCTTTTCCAGCCTAAATGATAAATGTATTAGGGTGTATTCGTAACTTAATTTAAAATGTTGCAGTTGATGAAGGTTATGCCATAAAAGAATGTATAATTTGTGACAAAAAGCATCTAAACAATTTCAGAGGTTTGTAACATCCATTATGTTTACTCCTATGAAACTTTTAAACACATATTTTAGGATATAGTCATTTTTAGATTCACATTTTTACTTCAAATTCAATTTCTAATTCTACAGACCCCTGAGTGCCGCATCCTGAATGGCTGTAAACCAGCAGCTCACAGACACCTATGAGTCTGAGACTGTAGTCCCCGAATTTATGAAACATGCAAAGTCTTAACCAACAAAATAGTATAATTGCCACAGTGAAAAATAACTGGTCAGTCTTAGAATGTCACACCACTGAACAAACTCTTTTCTCCCTTCCATTTATGATTTGATGCCTTTGCCTATGTTAAAAAATTAATGAGAAACAAAATACTCTCCTAGAAAGATAGGCATATAAATATTTGAATGGGAAAATTAAAGGTTCGTTTGAAGTAAACACATGTCTACATAAGAAATCCAGTATTTGACCCATATAAACCTAGGCATGAAATTTTTACCATGAAAAATGGGAAGTTGCTATAGGTACAGCTGCATGCCTCTATCATGAGAATAAAGCAACAGCATTATTTTTTTTATTTAACCAAAGACTGGACTGTAAAAAAACTCTAAGTTGGGGAATCAGAAGTGAAGATGGTAAGTATCCACAAGCACTGAAAATAGAAATATTTATGTCTATACGACAAATTTATTTCCGCTGTGAATAGATAAAAATGGTGCTTTAATATGACTCACATATGAATCAAATAATTACATTAGGTTTTTTCATGAAGTGTCTTAATATTTAAGTTCTTCTCAGAAGTTCCCGTGATGAGAGCTCTCTGAAGAACTAAGGTTACAATCCCATTGCTAACACAATCTTATAGGGAAACTGTACTCACATCAGCTAATTATTCCTGAGCCTTGATTTCATAACGTGCAAAATAATATGTAAAATATGTACTGGCATTAACTACTACAGATGGTAGATTTTAGATTTGACGTATTTTAGGAAAAGATGGACTGCTACCATCAGGCAATCTTACGTTTTATGTAAGACAAGCCTTAGCCCACCTTCCAGTCAATTCTTAGGACAACCCACTACTGCTGCTGCAGCCAGATGTGGACAGACAACCACAGCTAGGAGACACCTCATCTAACATCAACATTTCAATATGCTGGTGATGGTAAAAGACAGGCACTTCCTTAGGGCAGCTCATCCCTTTCTAAAATGGGATGTGCAATAGGTGAGCGGAACAGCCCATGGGAAAGGCCAGTTTCATCTGACCATGGGGAAATCCAGAGCTCACATCGCACAGAGGTTTCTGAATTTAGACGAGCGGGTGCTCATTTCCTTGAGGGATGAAGAAATACCCGGACAGATACAACCCTCCGGCTAAAGCCAGGGCGTTTTTTCTTATCATGGAAATCACTTTTATTTTGCTTTCTTTTCAGTTGCAGGGCTCGCTCGGTGGTGCGCGCACTGCTTGAACCCTCTCTCTCCGGATAGCCCTGCCTCGCCCACACCGAGCGGTCTCCGTGCCACGGCGAGAGGCCAGCCACGAGGCGCCGAGATCAGACTCTCGGGCGTTGGGGGACAGCGAGGCCAAACCGGACAGTGACGCCGCGGAGCCCCACTACAGCCGCCGCCACCGGGCGCAGCGCAGCGCGGCGCGGCCAATGAGCGGTGCCGGGGCGGGCTCGGGAGCGGCGCCGCCGGTACTTAGGCTCTGCCGGAGGGGCTGAGCAGCCCACAGCGGAGCGGGGCGGCGCGGGCGGAGGAGCCGGGCGCGCTGTGGGGAGGACGGAGCTCACCTCCTCTGCGGCGCCCATGGGGACAGGACGACTTTAAAGGAGTTTGGGGGGGGTTCTGACGACCCGCTGGGTGACTACGGGTACGGAGGGGGGTGAGAGGGACTCCTTCTGGGGACAAAGGGTGCTTCTTTTTTTAAATTATTATTATTTTTTATTTTTTCCTTCTCCTTGCGAGGTCTTGGACAAAATGCGAGGCTCGATTGGGTAGACACGGGTGGCAGCTGCGAGGCCGCCTGCTTTTCCAGCATCTTGTTCTTACGTACAGCGGCTTGGCTGGGCTGCGAGCGGGCTCGGGACCCTCCGGGCCAGCGCTCCCTCTGCCCTCTCCCTTGAGGAGCGGAGAGCGGAGGCTCCCGGAGAAACTCCGTCCCCCGCGCGGAAGCGGCGGGCGGCGAGGAGCCGCCTTCTCCTGCGGCGTGGGGCTGGGCCGGGGAGCCGGGAGCCCCGGAGCACTGCTCTGCCCTGCACCCCGAGAGCGAGGGGGAAGGATCCGCGCTGGGAGTTTCCCCCTCACACGGAGGGGAGGGATGGAGCGGGGGAAGAATGGGTGCTCGGGGCGGAATCGCTGAAGTCTTTTGTATGTGTCTTGATTTTTTTTTTGTTGTTCGTTCTCTCTTCCTTTCCTTCTCTCCGTTTGCACTCTCGTTTTCTCTGTCCCTGCCCACCCCACCCTTCCTCCAGATCCGGCGATTCCTGCCCTCGCCTCGCCCTGTCATTGATGGGAAATCAACTGGATCGCATCACCCACCTGAATTACAGTGAGCTGCCTACCGGGGACCCCTCGGGGATCGAGAAGGACGAGCTGCGCGTCGGGGTGGCTTACTTCTTTTCGGATGAAGAGGAGGACCTGGACGAGCGAGGCCAGCCAGAGAAGTACAGCGTGAAGGGCTCCGGCAGCCCTGGCCAGGAGACGCCCACCCACCACCTCCACCACCAGCTCGTGCTGAACGAGACCCAATTCTCCGCTTTCCGCGGCCAGGAATGCATCTTCTCCAAGGTCAGCAGCGGCCCCCAGGCTGGGGACCTGAGCGTCTACTCGGTGTCAGCGCTGCCTGCCCTCTGCAAGCCGGGGGACCTGCTGGAGCTACTCTACCTGGGGCCGTCGGAGCAGCCGCCGCCGCATTGGGCGGTGTACGTGGGCAGCGGGCAGATCATCCACCTGCACCAGGGGCAGATCCGCCAGGACAGCTTGTACGAGGCAGCCGCGGGCAACGTGGGCCGGGTGGTGAATAGCTGGTATCGCTTCCGCCCACTGGTGGCTGAGCTGGTGGTGCAAAACGCCTGCGGGCACCTGGGCTTAAAAAGCGACGAGATCTGCTGGACTAACTCCGAGAGCTTCGCCGCCTGGTGCCGCTTCGGGAAACGGGAGTTCAAAGCCGGGGGGGAGCTGCAGGCTGCTGCCGGCACCCAGCAGCAGTACTATCTCAAGATCCACTTGGCGGAGAACAAGGTGCACACGGTGAGGTTCCACAGCCTGGAGGATCTAATACGCGAGAAGCGCAGAATCGATGCCAGTGGCAAACTGAGAGTGATCAAAGACCTGGCTATAGTGGATGGGAAAGAATAGTGCGCAGCGGGGGTACATGGCTTTCTTTCTTCTGCCCTGCTGGGGAGCCCAGCCTGCCACAGGGGCAGCCGGCTGCACCCTCTTTCCATGGGACGCGACTGAAAGCAGGATCCATGGCAACATTCCAAACAAACAGCGTTCTTTACACCCATAGCCAGTATTTTGTTTGGCTTTCAATAGTGTTAATGCTGAAAGAGCGCGTGAGAGAGGAAGAAAAGGGGGGAGGTGCACGAATGCTGTTCTCTCAGTGTGTGGACAAAGTCTCTCCTGTTGATCGATGTTGACCATTCTAGCAACACGCTAATAAAATTTCAAATTGAAATTTTTTTTTTAAATTTTTATTTCATGGCTTTAATCCATGACAAATTTTAAATACTGGGGGCCATGGATGTGGATTTAGCTAAATGAGTTCTTAGCTAACATTTGCCTTGCAGCCAACCAAAAGCATCCATCGTACTTTGCTAGTTGGAAGGGGTTGCAGGTGGGGGAGTTGTAAATGCTTGTTTGCTTTGTTTCTCAACACTGTTGCTTCAGCCCATAGCTGCAACCCAAATTTTGTCCCAGCCAACTTTAGTGAGACAGCAGGGGAAAATGCTTTCACATTTCTGGTTGAAGCTGATCACATTTAAAGTAATGTCTTTGCTTTCTGTCTGCAGCTCTCTGCTAAATGTTATCATAATTTATAAGCTGTTTCCACCACTCTTTTATTTTTTTATTTTTTGTGAAAAAGTTGGTGAGCGGCTGTTTCTTTGAAACTAAATTTGCTGGTTGAAGGTGTATTTTGGAGAACAGTGTACTCAGTGTTGGTCCTTGGAGATCCAGCCTCTAGACTCTTATGCTTGGGCTGTGGGTTTGTGTCGCTGTAGTGACTCTCATTGCAACACTGCATCACTACCTCTTCATGCACAAATCAACAGAATCCTGCAAGAAACAAATAGGTTTGAATTCTGCATGTTGTCTTTTTAAACAGCAATTTATTACAATATTTACAATTCCACTTGAAGTATATGTAATGTGGCCAAGTTCATTTTGCATTTCAAATTCTAAGCAACTAAGAATCCCATTCAGTCTTAAGTTTAAGAATCCACAGCTGCATTTAAGATGCCTTTTAATGTGATGTGGGTAATGCTTTGTCTGTATTTCAGATCCAATTCACTCATTGCTTAACTGGCAGTTTTGAAGTGAAAGATCAAAATATTAAATATACATAAAATCTAAAAAATTATACTGGGGTATTTCTAAATCTGTATTCTATTTTTATTACTCTGAGCTGCGTACAACTTGTAATAAGTGATTTGTCTTTGCATGTTTCAGTACTGGAAAGAAAATGCATTTGTTTTTGTCCCCTCTTCACATATCAATGTCAGATAACAGAATAGAAGTAACACCCCTGTTCTGTATGTACAATACACTCCACCCCCTATCAATGTACTGTATCCTGGCTCCTTTTTGTATTAAACAATGTAATTAGCAACCTTGATGCAACAGTAACTTCATTTCTACAAAGGGTTTGCCTCCCATACCTGAAGCTGTGAGGGTGGAGTGTAGTTCACTATAAGTATCAGCATAAATATGTTTTTTAAAAAAATAAATACACTCCTTTAGTGAAGGTCATCAAACAGGCTTTGCATACTGATACACTACATATAGCATAGTTATGCCCTAATAGGCAGCATTACTTTTATTTTCCTTCTCACCTTAAAGTACTGTTAGTACAATATGGGATGTTTTGGGTTTTTTTAGTGAATTGCCCTACCTTTTATTAAATATGTATTATGTTAGTATTAGATGGGTGATAATGTCTGGTAATGATAGCTTTTTTTCCATAGGATTAACGATCTTCTATTTGTGTATTTATATTGCATTACATCTCCCAGGCTGTTCCAGTTGCTGAGTACCTCATAGCACTTGGGGGGAGCTCTGTGAGATTGCAGAAAGATACTGATGTTGCAGCCAAAGCACTTAAGGAAAGAATGGAACATAAATAGTAGGATAAGGAAGAGTGGGCAAAAGTAATTTAATTCTTCCTTGTAAGATATGTTGGAGAACTAGGGTAGGAAGAGATGGGAGAGGGAGTAATTGGCAAGGTGTCTACAAAGACAGAAAGAATAGAGTCATGTAAAGTTTGAATTCTGAAATACTTTTTCTTCAAATTGTTCACAAATGAATAAGATAGGGTTAGACAGAGGATCATTGCAAGAATAGCATTGCAGTTCCTCACTAGTGCAAATTTAAAGCACAGTGACTTTAAACATTTCACTGTGCCTTGCAAATACTCCATCTCTCTATCTAAACAGCCTTTTTAACTGTTTGTTGTGGGTTTTTTTGATTTATTTATTTTAATGACTAACTAACCTGGTTCATGAACATGTCAGTTTTCCTTAGTTGGCCTTGCTAGATGTGTGTTTATTCAAGCTCTTTGGCATTTCTCCAGATTTGTACAGACAAGGATAACAAGAAAATTAGGGCCTCTGTCCGTTGCATGAGGTCTGGAAGAATGTATTGGAAATATTCATAAATGGCATTGATCTGAGATTACTGCTGCAACTGTTTTTAAGTGGCAGTCTGCTTTTAGCAACAGAGATATCCACATGGATCATTTTACTTTCACTGGACTTTAGTTTGTTTCTGAAGCAATCTGGTTCTAATTCGTACTCCACTGAAATTAATAGAAAGGTTCTCACTGACTTTGGTGAGCTTTGGGTCAGGCTGTGTTGATTACGAGGTGGTTAATATTTGTGGACCTTGAAGAGAAGTGAGGTTTAAAATGGCATTGAGGAGGACAGAAGGGCCACCTTTCTGAGGTCAGAGACAGGCAATATTGTGGAAATAGGCAAGAAAACAGGCTAGTTCTCAAACGGGCAGTGTTAATGTGAAGAAGCAGTAGGAAAAGAGTGAAAAGTGAATAGAAATGGTTGTTCGGTGCCTTGAAACAAGAAGGGAAAGGCTGGGGAGCAGTTAGATGCAAGTGAGGCAATTATGCTTATGACTGACAGGTAGAAAAGTAATTGATTATACTCATCTTTCAGGATCAGTGACCTGACTGAGTTAACATTTCCATTTCCATCAGCAAAGATATTGACAAAATATGTTATATCCATGGAATCTGTTTACATTCTTCAGTCTATCATTCTAGGGTAAATATTTATATCTAAGCAATTCATTGCCATTGAAGTACTGTCTTGTAATGTGACTGCAGGTTTAGGTTACTTGAAAATCCTGCATTTGTGCCACGTTTCCAGTTTTGTTAGCTATTTGAGGAGCTGCTTTATTGAAACTGTTTTGCTTGGATACTATATTCCGTGTCATTTCCAAATGCAATCTTTTGAATTGCTTTGAGGCTAACATTTTATTAAAAAATTGTTTCATGTTCTCTTGAAGCATAGAGAGCCTTTGTGAAATGTTTTACTGGCATGACTGAATTGTTTGCTGGTTATTGGCTGGGCATGTAGGTATAGTAGTATGGGAATGGATGGCAAACGGGGTTTTATCTCCATCAGCTTTGTATTTCTGTGTTACTTTGTTTTCATTTTTTAGGACTTTTCCCCTCTAAGAAATATCTGTATGCAATTTTAAAAAGAGAAAAACCTTCATTTTATATACATATATATATATTTAGGGCAATATTATGCTACATTGATTTCAGATTGAAATCTGGTTGTAACAAGATACGGCCTTCAGGGTGTGACAAGAAATGGCCTTCAGTCTGTGCAGAGTGTGCATAATGTTAATTATCCTGCCTGATTTAATTTTAGTGTCTTTCATATTCAGGTAAGTGATGTGCAAAAATCTGTCAGAGTTTATAGACCTCTTTATGCGATGTGTTGAGCAGCTGTAACTCCAACCAAAGTTGGCTGAAGTTGAGAGAATTCTGGATCTCACTGAAGACATGGAACATCCTGTAGGATCAGGTACCTCATCCCCCCCCTTTTCTCCCCCAAAGTTTCCAAATCTGTCTTTTCAACTACAGAAGAAATAGGGGACTGTGATATCTACTGTGACTTTTACTGTTATTTTCTATGAAAGTTTTCTACTAGAGTAGTGTAGAAGTGTTCCGTCCATAATTTTACTTAGCTGTGATGGAAAATAAAAAAAAAATGGTATGTGTTGATGCTTATATTTTGTAGATGGTGTCTTTCTGCTTTATATCCCAGGAGAAAGATGATGCTCTCAGTCCAAAAGGATTAATCCAGAAATATGTAGGGAAGTATGATTGGGCTACTAAGCTGAGAGCAGTTTCACTGCAGTATTACGTTTGAAAGGATAATAATGTATGACTAGAGTGTGATCATGTGCTGCTGTTTGTTCATGAATGTCAGTGTTTCCATGGCAAATCTGGAATTTATTTACTTAATTATTATGAAATATGAAACTTCTCTGCTCTCTGAGTTCAAGTATGATAAGTAAAAAAGCCCTACATTCATGGATGCTCTGAATGTTAGTTTGATCTGTCAATTTTTTATTTTTATTTTCCCATTTTACTGTAAAGAAAATTAATACTCGATCAGATATCTTACTGAACTGCTTGTAAATGAAAAGAAGATGTTAGGTTGGGAACAAGGCAGTGAGGATTCTTCTGTTACTTGGAGTGCTAGTGGATTTACTCCCAGTTTATATAGGTAAAGCTATTAGCTATTAGTCCTGCCATTTTGTTTTTTGTTGCTTTTTTTTTTAAGGAAGTAATTGTGGCACTAATATATTCTCTCTTTTGCAATATAATATTAATTTATATATAAAATACATATCCCTTGTGAAATTATTCTTTTTCCATATATTGAAATGTCACCGTGCCTTGGAAAGTAATCATTATTTGAATCATGTTTATTTTTTAGAAAGAAACTAGAATTTGTCTGATAGCATTTATGCTTGAGGAGGTAGTAATATTCACTTTCACTTCTTAATTTTAAATATTTTGCATCGTTAACAAACCTACTCAGGTGGTTATATCCAGAGGAATCATCAGCAAAGGCCATACAGATTGAGATTGTTGAGATTATGGTTTTATAAAATCACACTTCATTTGTTTTCTTTTTTTTTTTTTTCTTTTTTAAAAAAATATTTTTATTTTAGGAATTCTGGATCATCTGCAGAACCAGAAACTCCCATGCATAAAACCAGTTGCTTCCGCAAGTGTTTGTAATATCAGGTCCTTTACTGTAAAAAGTCTGTCCCCTTTATCTGGCATTTACTTGACGTTAAAGTTGAGGAGTAGGTCTAGCCAACATCCTGACCATGAAGTGGACACAGAATTCAATGGAAAAATTATGTGCATGGTGTTTAACAGAAGAGCCTTAATTGCATATTCTTGCTTGTACATATAGTAATTATCTATGCAATTCTGGCATTTTCCTAGGTAAAGTGGGTTAATGCTTTTCAAACATTTTCTTTTCCACTTGTGTGACTGTGTGGGTACAAGTGTTGGACATTGACAGAAGATGGGGAATTAGCATATGGGTTTGAGTCTCTGAAGTGCCAATCCCCTGCTGTTTTAGTAGGGAGTCAGACAGAATTTGAAACAAAAATTCAACAAAAAAGGTGGGAGAGTTAGTTAAATCTCAGACTTTTCAAGAAAGAAGTCCATAACTAAACTTGAAATACAATTCTTTCTTTTTCTTCTCCACGGTGAATGAGGGTGAGTAACTGTGTATCCCTCATGCACAAAACCATTCCCATTTTGGAGATTTGTTATACTCTCTAGGCTAAATAGTGAGCAAAATAAGCGGTGTCATCAGCCTTAAGTAGCAAATAATTTTTCTAAGCCTAAAAGCTATTTGGATATAGAGTGATATTGGCAATCTACTTTGAAAGTTGCATGAAGTCATGAACTAAACTTAGAAATGATGGACTTCAATCATCTTTCTTTCCACTTCCTATGTAGGAGAGGTTAGAGCTTGTTACCAGTTTATGTAAATCAAAGAATAAACCTACTTCATGAGCCCTGTGATCGGCTTTACAATGAATGAAATGATCAAGCCCTAGAATTAGTTCTAACGTAACACTGTCATTGCTATAAGAAAATCTATATCCAATGGCATGAGTAAATACAGAGTGCCACATCATGACCCTCCTTCACAGCAGAGTACTTTACATCACAGAAGGAATATCCCTCATAAGTTATTCAATGTGAGTAAGCATATCACAATCTGGTCTCAAAACAGATAATCTCTTTCCATATGTTCCCATTGTTTCCATGTGCCCTTTTAGTCAGTTGAAAGCAATATAAAGACTGAGTCTGAAAAATGTGGTAATTGTTTGTAAATATTTAAACAGAAATTTATATGCATATTGATATACAACTAATATATATAATATTGTAAATATGTATACATATGCATACAGTGTGTGTATATATTATGCATATGCACGCACAGTAAGTCTTGACTGTTTTGTTAGTACTGGTAATAAATGGCAGTCATTTCTGTATGTATATTAACTGTGCAACAAATGGATACCCAAGACTGTACTGGCAGGATATAAACACTATTCAATATTTGTTCTTTACGATATGCCATGGTCTTCTGACATCAAGATAAGTTAATTAAATACGTGGGTTTTGATGTATTGCTACTTACTGCAGGAAAAATATCAAGGAGCACTACACTTTGCAATAACGAAGTATCCTTTTAGTATGAACTATGCTGCTACTAACTTCTGTGTTCATAAATAAATAAAAAATGCCCTAGTAATGTATCTATCCATCCTCTCCTTGGCGTATGTTAATGATAGTGCCACTATTTTTTATTTTTTACTAATTTAAACGTTTGTTATTGTTGTTGTTTTTCCATTTGCTGTAATGTTTTGGAAGCATACCACGGAATTAAGCTGTGTTCTGTTGTTTAGCCATGCTCACCTATTGTTGTATAGTTGTTTGAAAGTAAAGCGGCATCTGGCTTTTCTTGACTTTTCTCAGATATGTTTTATTTGAAAAGCTAAAAGGTGAGACTTTGAAAAACACTTACAACTGAGTTGGCTCCTTCCCCACTGAACACACTGTTGACCTTTCACCAAATGATTTGGGCCACGGCTAGGCTAATCTGTCTGCTTTTAGAGATCTTACTTTATGGATACAGGATGAAAATGAGATCTGTCAAGAACAGTGAGTGCTTTGAAAATAATGAGTAAATGAAAGCATTGCTGCCGAAAATAGGTCTAGTATAACAGAACATGGATAGCTCTGATATTGCTCGTAATTACAGTATCTGAATAAGCATTGACACCAGTCACTTTTACAAAGCTTAGGTTATGTTTCATGCTACAACTTCATTTAACAGAGATGGCTTGAATGAATGCTGTATCTGTTAATATTTATCATATAACTGTATGATAGAACTCTGTTTATTTGCATATGACACAACCTTACTTTATCTTTACATTCAAACTTTGTTGCATATGTCTGCCTATTTTACAATGTTTCTGGATCAGTATTTCTAGTCTGTCCTGGCTTTATATCATTGATTCTTCAGTTAGGTGTAATCAAAGGTCATTAATATTGAAAAGTTCACATTAATTGATCCATCAACTTATTTTAATTATGTCAATATAAAAGAGTGTCAAGTGCTAGACTCCTACAAAAATAATTGGTTAATATGTGGATTCAATATTTCCTGTGTCCTTTTAGCTATAGCTAAGGACTGTAAAAGAGTTCCCTACATCTTTATCTCTCTTTCAAGGTGAAGAAATATGACAAAATAGATGGGCAGAAGAAAAAGCTGCTGCTTTTTTTTTTTAAAAAAAAAAAAGGCAGAAATCTTGAGCTGTTCTTTTTTACTTAGAATTTGTATACAGATTAACTCAGAAATGTGCAGGTAAAATTCTCACTTACAGTAGGAGCACCAATTATAGAAATGATACCCTTTGAATTTTGACATACTAAAAGCTTGTATATATATGCTAAATAATTTTCTTTTCCATTTCATAGCATGCTAGTTACTTTTTAATCCATAGGAACCCAAAGTTGTGTTCTCTGTGTGCTGATATGTACCCTAGCAGAAGCAGAAATGTTTAATGTTTGCATAATGTGAATGATATCAGAGAACCTCTCTTGAATTTCATTTTCCTAAAATCATTAATATCGTGCATACCTTTGAGTATGCATGAGATTAATGACTTTCTTCAGAATAATGTCCAAGATAATGTAAATAAAAATAAAGCTGAAATATAACATGTTAGAGTTGTTTTTTTTTGTTGTTTTTTTTTTTTATGTTAAGCTATGGACTGTCAGATATTTCTTACTTCTTTGAAATAGGAGTAAGATGTGTATTGATATTTAAGGAGCAGTTCTGTTTGCAAGATCTGTAGACCTCCTTTCTGTACAGGAGTGCTTTACTGAATAAAATAATGCCAAGGAATAAGAAAATGTAGGATTTTGAGTTTGATAGAATTGACATATTTGCACAGAAGTCCTACTCCCATTTCAAATCTTAGTAGAACTTGTTTCTGACTGAATAACTCAAAAATATGAGATGCTTTGTTT